TGGAAAGCGCACAGGGAGGTTGAAGACCCAAACTGACACGGGAAGTCGGTAAGGGGCCAGGGCCAGGCTCAAGCTCCCAGCTCTCTGGGATGTTGTCACAATAAATACTGCATGATACCGTGCGGAATGGTAAGTACTGACAGTTTTTAAAGCATTTATACTAGGTTCACTGGAGCCTTTTGTTTATCAGCCACTGCCAAGTTAGGGCTCCTGTGGAACAGTCAAACCCGCTCTTTCCTCAGTCACTTTGCAGTTTAACTCCTAACGGAGAAGATGATAGTTTTATCTTAAATACACAGTAGAGTCTCTTGGCAGGGCTTTTAGCTGTGACTGGTGTAGGAAAAATTAGCTCCTAGGATTTAGAAAAACCCACCAATTACTTTGACATCCCTTCAGATCTTAAAAGAAAGACCTACATTTTTATACACTAGAAAGGTTTCTGTATAACCTGCAGTGTGTTTCTGCCCTTTAGAAGGGCTGTGCTTTTGAAAGTAACTTCCAAAGGAATATGAATTTTGCCTTTGTCATCTTCATCTCATATGGATTAAACGTTCCCCCACTTCCTCTTATATCAACTTACAGATACTCGGTTTTTGCTCCTGTTTTGTGTTTAGCTTCTAATCACTATTTTAAAATTGTAGAAAAAAGTTTTAGATTAAAACTCTGCTGTACTATTATGTTTTCCTAAAGTGCAGGTCTGTACAACTCAACCTTACCCTTAGATGTCACATCAACTTTGAGTGCACTTTTATGGATTCATTAAATATTAAGTCTAATGGAAGCAGCTGCTTTAGTTTACTGGTTTGCAAAGTGAAAGTTTTAGTTTCATTCCCGTGATGTCATTACAGCAGTGTGCCTACTTGCTCTCAGAGACAGACACAGATGGATACATTATATCTCAAACTATTACTGATCACACAATTTTCAAAAGTATCTACTCTTCTGAAATCACAATTGCTAAGCACAAGATGTAGAATTCCTTAATTACTTGACATAGTTAGTGTTTACCAGGCAAAAAAATACAGCCTAAACAATCCACTCCAGAACCTTGATAAACTATCATTGCATGAGTTTTGCATACTAAGAAAGCATATAAAACAGAAGACAAGGACCATATCCTTCTGCCTCAAAGGCAGAACTATTTGATTACATAGTAAAATGAAGAAGGAAAACATAAAGGATTAATAAATTCTGTAATGAAGTAAAAATCATGCAAAGAGGTAGTTGATATGGTTTCTCCTTTTTTGGTATCATCTTTGCAACTATAATTAGGAAAAATATTAGGAAGTTAGGGAGGGACTGCTTTTCAATATCTTGGGAGCAACAGAAAAGTATTTCAGGGAAAGCTGTAGTCCAGGTTACGAGAACAGTCACGTGCCTACAACAGAATTACCATATTAAGGCTGCTTCTAAATTTGATTGTCAGATGAATCGTGGGAAGTATATATTTTAGCAAATAAATTTTGTTCACCAAAATATCATAGACAACATCCTGAAGTTACATAAATCAGATAATCCAGAATAAAAAACCCTCACAGGTATGCAGATGTTAAACATTTTTATCACTGCAATTATTTATGGCCTGTATATGTGGTCGTAAGTGGTATTTTTCAGGTTGCCAAAACTGGATATTCTCTACTTCACTCATTGATGACAAACTACACTGAAATATTTTATATGGATTTATTTCATTATTCCAGCTCATTCCTCAATGGATTTTATGTATTTCTCATAGGCATCTTCATTCATCAGTTCATCAAGTTCAGCAGCGTTTTCACTTGATAAGCCAACCTGTAGTTAGGAAATTAAAAAGAAAAACAGTTGCTAGTATCCTACAAGAAAGATTCATTCACGTTACTGCCTTAGAAAGGTACTCCCAGTAGGCACACAAGCCCTGTAACACTGGTAGAATCAACAGGACTTCTTGTGCAGGCAAAACAACGTTTCAATACTTTAAAAACTACACAAACAACCAACCTGTCCTAAGAAACCGCCTTTTGAGTCAGACCAGCTATCTAATTTAGTACTGCCTCCGACAGTGGCATTAAGGAGACACTGTCTACAAAGAGTAAAAGAGCCTGACCTCGCAGTATCATGAGCCGTCACAAGATCAAAAAAAGAGAAATGCGATCAAGGGAAACATTTAAATTCAACCACAGCCTATGTCTGAAAAGAATACATTGTAAAGTAGCTGACAGCAAAGACAAGACTACAATAATACTTTCACGTTAAATTTTATCGGGCTTGAACTATATTCAATATATTCCATTTAAGACTCCATACCGTTGAACTGGAAGAACTAGGAATTGCAGAGCCATTTATGATAGCAAGAATCCAGGTGGTATTCATTATTGAAAGATAAAAATGACATCTTACCATCTTGATAACAAGATTTATTGACAAGCCCTGGATTATCTGCAAGGGCAGCATTAATCTCAGTCACTTCTCCCGAGAGAGGAGAGTAGAGTTCACTAGCAGCTTTCACACTTTCCAAAGCTCCAAACTCATCTGAAACGCAGAACATGATTGAACGCTTTTAAGAGGAAAATACAAAGCGCTTTAGTTTTTTAGTCAGACGTTCTGGTGATGACCTAGCCATTGAAAAATCATCTTGATCTTGAGCAAGGAAAACTGTCAAAGAGATCGAAGTCACCAACTTTATGACAAAGATCAGCAGTATTAAATTCGATGTTTATGCTCCTGAATTATTCTGGGGAACTTGCATAACACTAGCTAGCTAGCTACTACAGAAGGCACAGAAGTTTCTTACATTTGGCTAATCCTTTGGCTAAAGCCCTACAGCATATGATATGATAAAGGCTTAGAAGAAACCACATCCAGCTCTTGCTGCAAGAGACCTAAATATGCCTTCTATCTACAATTTAAACCTTTTGTAACCAAATTATGTATAAAAATAGACACAGCCACAATTTCAGGAATCCCAGTTTTTCTTCAGAAACACTATCAAGTGTTACGTTTGCACTCACTGGAAAACACACATTAGTATTCAGAAGCACCACGCTGGAATCACCCAGCCGCTCTCCCCTTTTTTCTATTTTGTAGGCATGGAAATGGTGCCTGGAGCAATGTTAGTCCAGAGTAACTCTAAGCCACAAGCAAACGAGACAGAGCCTGGAGGAACACAGAGCTGTCAGAAGAGTAGATAGGCATCAGCACAAGGAATCAGAGAACAACATGTTCTGGGAAAGCTTGGAATTAGACTAAGGCCAGAACGGGTAGAAAAGAGACGAACAAAATGGAAATGAAATTCCTTCAGATAACACAAAACTACAAGTTGGTTAATTAAAACCCTAAACAGAAAGATCTTTTGTCTAACATTCACCATTCAATGCAATGTAATAGATTTGGCCAAAACAGTTCGATACGGACCTATTCCACAAGAAGGATGGCAAAAGAAAGGCCTGCTACTTTACCTCAGTAAATCCACGTTCTTGTTCTGCAATGTCTGAAGCTAATGACAAGCTTTTCTTCATATACTAGCGAGACAGCTCTCTAGGTTAATACAGAAATAGGCTTTTCCTTTTTACCTGTTAACGCTCACTCTTCTTTAACATGGAAAATTACATAACTGAATGTTTAAGAATGTAACAATTTGTACATTGCTAATGAGCAAAAATCTATGATTACAGTTGATACCCAAAAATTACTGAGTCTGTATATTCATAGAAAAATTAGAGCTTGATGTCAATTAGATATTTCACATCATGCAACTTGTGAAACACGTAACTGCAGAATTACAAATAAGCCAGCCTAAACACTAGCAAGTCCAAATCAAAGCATAAATATTTTAAAAACAGAGTATAGATAAAATAATTACAAAAATATATTTCAAATGTTTGATTTTTAAATTAATGTCTTCACAGTTTAATGAGCAGGTATTTTCTGCTACCATGCGTGGTCTGACAGTGAGAATTCAAAATTAAAGCTGTCTCTTGTAGAAATACCTGAATTTATTCTGCATCCAGAAGACTTATAATGGTATTAACGAACACAAAGATTACTTCATAAAATTCATCTTTGCAAAGGGATAGTGGGATGAGTAGAGTAATTACTTCATCAGAAGTTAGAGCTGAAACTTACCATGTTTACTCAATTTTGTCCCAATTTCTGGAAGACTACAATAAACAACATCTCCTAATGCTTCCTTAAAAGAAAAACAAAAGCATCAAAGCATACATTAAAGAAACTATACATAGCAGAGATCTGATACAGTAACTCTAGAATCACTGTATATAAGTAATCTCTGTCTCTAAATTTAGTTCTCATTCTTTAAGGACTGCATATTTTTCACTTTTTCTTTTTAGACATTTAACTTGAAAAAACTGTTTTGTTATCATGCCCCAAATGCCAAATTATTGTTTATCTATTACAGTGTTAATAACCCTCAGGCTGAGTTACAAGGTTTATATACAGATTTCTTCAGGCAGAACGAGAAATAACATCTGCTGATCTTCTTATCATCAGCTAGAGTAACAACAGTTTTAAAGGACAAAGTTCCCGATGATTTGAGGGAATTACCTTTTTGTTACAAAGCACAGAGGATTTACTTCCAGTGCGATTTGAAAGAAAACGCGATGATTCCTCCCCAGAGACACAGACAACTGGAGAGCTGTTAGCATACAGTTTGTCCTTACTGACTTAATAAGGAGCCTTATCACCACAAGAATCGGCTCAGCCAGAACAGGCTTCTGCCTCTTCACTGACAAATGTACCCTACCTCACAAAAGACTAGGGATCGTACAGAGCATTAGTGTTATTTACAGAAAACTGAGATATGGGAAATGCTGCTTGTCCTAAGAAACGTCAATTCCACTTCATTGATAGCTTCTCATATTAGATTCTCTTAAGTTTCACATACAGTGAATCTCTATCCCAAATTTGCCTGTGACTATTCCAAATCAAGTACTTGCATGAGAACAAACCAAAACAAAACATCCAAAGGAATTTCTATCCTAGAGTAAGAAATATGCCATGTTGTACTTCTGTTCACAATTGTTCTTTAGCCAGAGGGACTGCATCGCATTCATGTTCAAGGACAATTTGGCCTAAAAGGTGCGTGATGTCCTCTTCGCATAGCCACGAATTTCTCAGGCCTATAAGAACTGAAGTAAAAAAGCAAGTTTTTAA